AGGATGCCCTGAGAGAAAAGGGGGCAGCTCTTGCTGCAGGCAGCAAAGGTATAACTTCTGAATTTTGAGTAGAGCAGCTGTTAATACCCTTTTACCAGTGACTTGAAGTCTCTACAAAATTAAAGCATGACTGTATGTGCAGAAAAAATAACCTGGCAATCATCTTGTGGTTTCTTCAAATCTCAGTAGAAGCATGAAATGCTGTCTATATCCAGTTCTTACTTGTCCCCTTGCAACTGATGCATGTCTTGCCCAGAAAGAATTCACAACAGAATCAAAATAATCTATTTGCAACTGTTGCGATGGATTTCAGAAAGTACCTGTATTCTGGGAGGCTTGTGAAAATCATGTCAAAGATGAGGATTGTGAACCAGCAATATCATATGTAAAAGAAACTTTTTTTGTGTGAGTAGAAGGGAGATTCATTGTAGTGATGTAGAGGACCACTAAATTCATGAATTGCATATAGCAAGAAAAGACTTATTTTTAAGGATATGGTTTGTTTTGATGCAGTCCTGTAGAATTTGGAGGAGAGTCTTTTATTGAATTAAATGGCCTTTTTACTCAGTGGCGAGTGCAGCAAAAAACTTCCCAGCAGTGTGGGTGCTTCTTTGTTATACGGGGTGTACCAACGTGCTGACAGGTAGGCACAGAAATGACTTAGGCTCTGTGTGCCAGTACTGCAGTATCAACCAAAAGTGTGTGCACTACTGGTGTATTATGGAAGAGACACATTAAACAGCTATTAAATGGGAATGCAAATACAACTATCGAAGAGGAATGCAATATAAAGAAGCCAGGAAGTGTAGCAGGTATTTTAAAACTTTTATTCTAAACAATGACTTTGTTTTTAAAACATGTATTTTTAACATTTCATATTCAAGATAGCCTTTCCTATGACTGAATGCTACTGAGTGATAAAGGTGATCTGAAGTGTTTTAATGTTTGGGTACATGTGGTATAGTTAACTGCAGATTTGTGAAGCTGAAAGAACTGTTACATTGAAAGGTGAAGTCACAAGCTACAGAAATGAGGATAATGTGCAAACATAACCTACATTTTTATTCTCAGTACAGCTTTGTAGTCTTAGAAAGCCATTGTCAGTTTTCAAAAATTGTATTGCAATTAGAACTCAAAGAAACAAGAGCTGAGCTTTGAAACAATAAATGCAGTCCTAGCAGAAGAGAAGTATAAACAGATACTGTTAAGATTACTTTGTCAGGATGCCAGCTGAGGTAGTTGCCCGCTCTTTCTTGCTTGAATTTAGCTCTCCTTACAAATAGTCAAGGCTGTGGCTGTGATAAGGATGAAATGAACAGAATATTTTAGTCATGAGTCAAATTGTGCCTTGATGTCAGTGTTAATTTCAATTCATCGAGAGACCAAGTCTAGTTCTGTGACGGGATGAAAGTCTAGGAATGAATCACAGGCCCTGCTTTACTGTGTAGCAAAACTTGCAGATGGCTGCAGCTTCATTAAAATGATTCAATAGACTTGAAATAATTAATATGGATTAAAACTTGGTGCTGCTTAGATGCATTACCTGAGTGTAATGCCTTTGGCTTCATCAATTTTGTGCTTGCCATATAGGGTTTCCAGGAGCAATTAGTTGCTGGTTCACCTGGTACCATTTTGTTATTGAAATGTTCCTAATGGAGCCAGAATGTGGATGCTTCCATGTAAATAAGTAGCTATGCCCACTTTTTAATGGGGACTGGCTCTCACTGACAGTTTTTCAGGAGTAGTGTTAATTTATATAATCTGTTCCTATGCTCTGGAACAACCTATGGAGAGTTGACTCCACGGAGAGTTGACGAGAAAGTGGTTACTTCTAAATATTAGAATGTAAGCATTTAGGAAATATTTTCCTGAATACAGGTAATGAAAATCACTTACATGGTTTCATAAACCAGTATTGGTCTCAGGGTATGCATATACCATGTTGTATTTTTATCAGTCAGGTGCATGGTGCCATCGTATTTGAATAACAAAATTAATTTGCCCCAGAAAAAACAAACAAAAAAAGGAAACAAACAAAAAAAACACCACAACTTTTAAATTATGACTGTGTCTTTCCTGGTTGCTTTTGTGTAGGCATCTTCTACTTTACAAGGTGACTCTGAAAATGTGACATAAACTATAGAGTGCAAAACAATTGTTTGTTGACTAATAGGTACAATAGAGAGCTAGGAATGGTAAGCCACCAAACAAAGCATTAATAATGCCTCTGTCCCCAGTGTTTTCAGTTGCCAGATGGTTACCAGTCAGATGGGAAATGGTTGGTTTCTGTTGTTTCTGTGTAGTGGACTGCTCCTTTGATATGGAGTTGCTCTCTTCCAGCTCTCCCTTTTTCACCCATCATGTAGTGGTTTGGGTTGGAAGGAATTCGTTCTAATTCCCCTGCCATAGACAGGGACCCCTCCCACCAGACCAGGTTGCTCCAAGCTTCACCCAACGTGGCCTTAAATACTTACAGGGATGGGGCATTCACAGTTTCTCTGGCCAACCTGGGTCAGTGCACCACCACTCTCACAGTAAAGAATTTCATTTGAATAACTAATCTGAATCTACCCTCTTTTAGTTTAAAGGTATTACCCCTTGTGCTATCATTGCACTTCCTGATAAAGATCCCATCTCCATAAATTTTTAATGTCAATGCTTTTTTTCCTCTAGATTTATGGAGCTTTTAAATATTACCATTTTGACAATTACATGTGAGATTTTACTTTCTTCTTTTCAGTTTTCCATGTAAAAGTTTGAAAAGATCTGTCAAATAAATAAAAAGTACATCTTTAAATGGGTTCTAGGTTAGGGATATGCCTGGATGCTGGACATGTATGGGAAGAATGAACCAGAGGGAATAGACAGGCTTGCATGTCCTCACTGTGTAGCCTGGCCGTTACAAGCATATTGGGCTGGATGGACTGTTACGCTGATCCAGTAAGATGTTTATTATGTTGAATGTGCTTGTATTTTGAGTTTAACTTCTGATGCCTTCTGCCTTTCCTGGTTCTCATTGGACTGAAATACTGAAAACACTACTTGAACAACATGGAAACAGTGTTTTGCTTTCTGGGAGCATTTCTTAGCCACCAGTGTCTACAGCTACACTGTGTTTTAACCTGTTTCTGTCCTAGCTAAGTGGATAAATAAGTACTTTACATTGAGTGGAAAAGAATCAGCAGTAGATAGCAAGTCATCCAGCTCAAATCCATTTCTAATGGCTGCAATGAGGTTGTGGGAATGAGAGGTGGGATTTGTCTTCTTGGCTTTATCCCATGAGATACACACGTTAGTCTGAGCTAGCAGAAGAGCTGCAGCCCCTTTGACTAGGAGACACCTGCGTTTCTGAAGTGGTGAATGATGGTGTGTGTGCAGGGTCAGTTACCTTCAAACAGAAGGGTAAGTTGCATTGGAGTCTCTTAAAACTGGAGGAATAGTCTACTTACCAATTCTTTGAACAGAAAGAGAACCACAGATGCCAGCAATTCTGGTTTCCTTGTTTTTTCTTACAAGTGTCTAAGAACTAAGTGTATAAAATATGGACAAATGATTAGTGTTGACATTTCTAAAGTTCTCTTTTTCTGCAAATTTCTATGGAAGGAAAAGTGTAGTTCTAGTCAACGTCATGTCAGGTTTTTGTTCTGTATCTTTTGACTTGGAAATAGAATTAAAACTGAAAAATCAGTTCTTCGCATGCTCTCGATTGTGTGCAACTGAATTGTGGGGAACCTAGAGATGCATCTTGTGTAGTTTACAGTAAAGCACTAAACTTAGTACTCATGTATAACCGTTACTGGGAATGGCAAAAACCTAATTTATCTCTACCCTTAATGCTTTAATTATCACTCATACTATCTTTGTTTGCAAGTGAAATGTGTATACCTATTATGAAATAATTTGGCACAATTCCTATACAATTTGGTATAGAAACCTTAAATCTACAGTGTTGTGTTAAATCAATGCTAGGTTCACCAGAAGGTGACAATACATCTTTTTAGCTTGCACAGTCGAACTACCTTATTACTTTATTATACAGCATCAATGGTTCTAATAAGTCCTGCTTAAAAAGGACAGATATCCATTACTTGTGTGTTTGAAGTCTTTATTGGATAAAATGGCTTTGCAGAGCTATGTTTTATGGGAACCTAAGTTGCTGGAAAATTAAGTCTTTTATTTTGGAGCAATAATTAGTTGCATTCCTACTAAAGCATGGTTATAATTCTTTGCTGGCACATGCACATTTCACTGCAGCTAAGGACCTCAACCAGGATGTGGTGAACTGAGTGAAAACCCTGAAATTAACATCAGTGGGCTTTGGATCAACTCCTAATGAACGATTGATTCACTTTAAAGCCCTTACTTAGCTTTAATTTCAACTTACTGATTTCAGTTATAGGTTGTCTTGACTTAATCTGCCTTAACACTTCAAAAATATTTGCTATTACAGGTTATTTTATAACTAAATGTTTCACTTACTCCAGTCATTAATTACCAAGCCTTTTAGGAGCTGCTCTGTGTGTTCTCAAACTGTTAATTATGACCATTGTGATTGAACATGTGGAATAAGATATAGGTGTTGTAGACATAGCAATTGTGTTTTTCTTCTGTGATAAATTCAGTAATGTAATTTTTGCAATAGATTTGATAATGCAATGTAGTGTTTTCTTTATAGCTCAATTTCATTTACTATTAGAGAATTTATATTGAAAGGACTTCTAATGCATTATTCTCATATTTTTTAATACATGGTCAATTTAGAAATCCCAGAAGACAATTATACAGTTTTTAAATCTATTATTTCAGTTTGTGCAAGTTTCTGTGTATTTTTTTTTTCACAATTAGGAAGCAAGTAATAACAACCTTAATTGCATCTCTTGAAATCCTAAGCCTGTTGTGGAGCCGAATCTACTCCAACAAGCAGTCTCTGGGTGCTGACAGAGGGCAATGAGCTGTTATGGCTAATAATTGCTTATTGCGTTTTTTTGCTTTGTACCTAGGTGAAATGTCAACAAAAGTGCCAAGCGTTAAACTGAAAATTGACCCTCAGGATCTGCACATCCAGACGTTTACAGTGGAAAAATTACTGGAACCATTGATAATTCAGGTATTTTAATACTGCAGAAAATAGGTTAGATAAGTGGGTTGCTAAGTGTGTTCAGGCTTCTGCAGCAGTATGTTACAGGGTAAGCAACAGAAAGGACCTCTTCTATTTTGAATATCCTTTTCATTTTACTTAGGGCAACCATGTTGAAGCACATGCTTCAATTAGTCAGTTATACCATGAAGATACTAGACTATCACTGTCCTTCAGCTTTGCCAAGATGTTGCAGATCAAACTACTTATCACAGCAGTACACTGCTTATTTAGTTGTCTTCTTCCTGGTGCCTCAGGGAATATTTACGTGGCAATCATTGCTCTGGCTGCAGTTTGGGTAGGTGCAAAAAACTGTGACTTCACATTCAGATCTCTTATTCATTTGGTAATATGCAAAGAATACTCCGTAGTTTTTCTGGTTGTGAAAATGTTCAAGTTATAATGGCTATGAAATAGTTTCTGTGATTGATTGATTTATATATTTCCAAGCTCATTGAGTAATGCCTGCTAAAGACAGTAGCTTTTTATTAAACAGTATATGCTAATAAGCAACAACAGAAAAAACTTACTGGGAGAATGACTGTGTAAATAGAGCAAAGCCAGACTCAATCATGTAATCTGGCTGTTCTTCTGTTTATAGACATGTAAGAATTGGAGATGTGTAGTTTAAGTATTTGTATTTAACAAATTTTTTGTTATTTCTGTTTGTTGTTGTTGTTTGTTTTTTTTCTTTTTCTTTTTCTAATTGCAGCTTCCCTATTTAAAAAGATTAAATCATTGTTTTAATTAAGGTTAATACTGTTGTTGAACAAGTATTACAGGAAAAGTATTTTTGTGCAGCTCATTAATTGGCATTTTTGATTGCACTCAGTAACCTTGTTTTATGGTAAATTTTTATTCCAGGAGTGCACTTCTTGTCATACACTGCTCTGGTATCTGTCATACATTGCTCTGGGAGCTAGTCCTCTGCATGCTGGTTCCCTGAGCTTGCCAAAGGGTTGTGATCAGATAGAGGTACTGTCGGATTATATAATCAAAGAGGCAGCATGTAATGATATGATTGTAGGGAAGAAGAATATGGAGGTGAAAGATACGGACAAGAAAATATAGAGTACATTTTGTGTGGTGATGATTCTTATGTTGATTTGCAGTTTGACAGAAAGTTCCTTTATTCTAGAATTGCTCTCCACATGGTCTAAAAACTAGGAAAAGTAAAGAGGTGCTGATCGTGTTTTATAATGGATGTCCTAGGAAGAATTTCTTTAAAAAAAACAAACAATTCATTGAAATAAGTTTCTCTTCACCAAAGCTGTATTTTCTTCATTTGCATCATTTGCCATTGCCTATCTCTCATCCATTTCTTTTGTGATTGTCTTTGAAATTTCTTCTTTCCTTTTTGACTTAATGTTCTTTTCCTTCCTTACTCAATTGTTCTTTCTGGAAAATTCTCTTTTTCAGAAAGTATCCTTTTCTTTTTATCATTACTTCAATTTAAGCTTTTATTAACTGAGCTGCCTCTTACTCTTGTGTCTTCCTTTTTATTTTTGTATGGGTGTGATTGGCAGTGTTTAAAACCTCAGTAACAGCTCAGTGGTTTGTGGGATGTTGTCAAGATAGACCATTGTTGTGGATGAATTTTAAAATTTAGTTTGAGTGGTAGGCTTACAAGTCTTGATAGACTGCATTCTGAAACCATCTCTTAATGTCCTTCTAGGTCAACCTGTGCTCAGACAGCTGCAACGCTGGGCATTTTTACAAGAAATGAAGAAATTTGTATTTTGGCCTGATTTTTTTTTGGATCAAAGAAACACAATAAAACAAATACAGTCTCAGAACAACACAATAAACCCTCTAATATATTAAAAAATAAATACTCTGAAGTGTCTATTAAAAGCTTCAGTCTGTCTTTGACAAAACCATGGCACATGGCAAAGTAGCACTGGGCTTATTTTCTTTTGAATTTACATACAAGTAAAAATTATGAAAAAAATGACTGGATGAGATTAATAGGACTTCACTAATTGGTGGAGAAAATGCTTCATAACTACCTCTGCTGTGCAGTTGTTGCAAGTCTTGTAAACTACCAATGAGCCACTTGGAGAGTTTATCAGAGGAGTTCTCTCTGTATTTGTATGTGTACACACTTAATATATGTTGTACGTACATGTATAATTAAGCAAATATGTGTAAGAGCTTTTCCATATATTTATATTCCGTGCATGTATACAAGCTAAGGAAAATCTATGGCTTTTAGAGAGGTATGTCTTGCAGGCTACATACAAACACATGTAGTTTAGGATCTCTTCTATTACTGATGAAAAATAAGCAAGTTGAAAGACATTTATTCTGATGTCATCCATACTGATAAAAGTTTGGTTCCTCACACAAGTGATATGCTCATTTTAGTTCCATGTATGGTGAGTTTACTTTAGGCACAGCTAAAGGGATTAACCAGCATTTATTTGTATGGGCAGCACTGTTTATTTTCAAACTTGAGACTCAAAGGATGGTTAGCACTTGAAACAGTGAGCAGGTGCTTCTGCCATTGTCATTAGAATGCTGAATTCATATATTGTTCTTTAAATGTCCAGGTATTGCTGTTACTGAACTAAATACTTTTTCAACACTGGTAGAATGTTCCATGATTGATGCTTTAAAATACTTTTATAATAATAGCAAAGGTGAATCAAATCTTCTGGTGTTCAAGGTGTTAAATAATGTTTTTCTTTAATACTGCAATATTAAAAGATAGTATTTTAAAGGCTGGTCAGAAACGGAATATGGCATTGGAAAAACTGCTGCACAGTTCCTTAGAAATTCACTGATAATCCTGACAAAAATGAGAAAGCAACCCTATAGTGACAGCCTAATAAATAATGGCACTAACTGGTAACAGTGACTCTGATTTGCAGCTGTGGTGGCATATGGGGCTTAAAAACCACATCTGAAAAAATGTTTTATTTATAGCAGATTTCCCCAAAACACAAAGTAACCAATGGTAGTAATTTCCAGTGAGTGCTGGGAAACACCCATGTTTGTATGGTGATAAGGGTGTGTGTCTGCATGACAAGAACTGTGAAACACAGTTGGACATGAGCAGAATGAATGGGGTAGGGTTCACTTTTTTTTTTCTTTTCCTTGTTTTCTCACAATGCTGTAATTTTGATGGCATATTCTGCTACTGGTGTGCAATCTGTGTGGACAGTGGCTCAGAAGAACATGCTTTATTAGCTGCTGTGTAGTTCAGTTCTTTGTGTAAGATCAGTATAAAGTTTTAGCATTCCTTACTGGGGTTTTGTGCTGGTGAACCGAATTTTTTTGTATTAACTGCCACGAGCCAAGAGCTACCTGTCAAATTTTAACTTGCATTCAAGATCACAAGCTGCCTCTGTCAAATAGCATTGGGCTGTTTCCCATGGAAATCATGTTTTAGCTTCTGATTTTTCCTGGCAGTGATGCTGAAGATGAAGGGTCTTAAGGCATTTAAAAGGCATCTTTTACTTAATATGTTTTGGGGGCAGCATCTTTTTAAACTTTTCTGTCATTCTTGTTAGAAGTGTCAGTTTATAAACTGGCTCTTTAGACTATCATCACTGAAGCCACGCTAAATGCTCCAGAAATAATGCTGTAGGGTTCTTTTTTAAGATATTTAAGTTGTTATTACCAATATATTCTCTACCATCTGGCTGGTTTATGTGCAATAAATACTTGCATTTACTTTCTTTTGTGGCTGAGTAGAAGAACACCCAAATCCTTTTTAATAATATGACCCAGTATAAATATAATTTATGTTGCTTTCTTCCTTTTGATATGCCATAGCTGATGTTAAGTGGCTGGTTCTAATTCTCTGTCCCCAGATTTTACATGAATGAAATAAGGGTCAAGGCTTTTTTCTTTCAAAGATGGCTTAATAGAAATGCTTCCCAGAGAAAGGTTTGTCATTTACTTATGACAGTGCTGATTGATGAAAAGGACGAGCGTGCATAGATTCACAGGAGATCTAAAGGTGAGCGAGGGCACTGGATCTTCCCCTCATAGAGGTGTGAAAGTAGCACTATTCCATAGACAAGCTCAAACCACAGGATGGACTGAAATTCCTACGCAGCTTTTGCTTTCCTTGTACAATGTTGTTGTCAATTCCCTTACTGCACAAAGAAGTGGACTGATTTAGGATGACTGGAATGCCATTTAATAAAAGTAAGCAATTTGTACATATAAAATGTATTCACTGAGTTCCAGGACTAGCTCTGTATTTCTTATGACGCTGTCCATGATCTGGCACAGAATAGAAGGATGCTTAGTGAACTGAAAACAAAGCATGTCTTGAGATATCTGTATAACACTTTAAAAATCTTCTAGGAGCTTTCCCATATTGCTGGCAGCTCAAGCAATGCCTCAGAGAATAGTCTGTTAGAAACATTCTACTGGTGTGTGGAGGTTGGACTGAGATGGCGAGGAATGTGGAGTGGGATGCTATATAAAAATAACTTCTTTATGGATGTTAAAGAGCATTATTAAAAAAAAAAACAACAACTCTAATTTAGACAAGTAATCTGTGTTCTGGTTAAAATTTTGTATAATTCTAATGCTGAAAGCTCCTCATAATTCTAAAGTGTTGAGTTTTGGCCACTGCAGCCTTTGTCTGTAAGGAGAGAAAGCATTTTGACACTGAAGAGGGAAGTGTGGGAAGATGCAAAATTGATGCCTGCTTGGCTGAAGCCTCCTTAAATAGCAGTAGTAATTTTTATACCATGAGGAAACTTCTATAACAAGTTGTGTCAGGAGTTTACAGCAGAACTAATATGACAATGATATTTCCATTGTGTTTGCTTTGATCTTAGAGAAAGAACATAAAGATGAAGCATATTAAGTGTTCTGTCAAACTTGATAATTTTGCACATTCTCAGTATGCATGCTGGGCTTGCCTGCCCCTATCTGAAGCAGGGGAAATCCTATTGTTTATTCTCAACTATGATATTTTTAAAATTTGAAAACAGTATAAATTTACTTGTAATAGAACTTAAACTACTATTGTCTTCTTGTTTCTTTTAAACGTAGGTTACAACACTAGTGAACTGTCCCCAGAATCCTTCCAGTAAGAAAAAGGGACGTTCCAAAAGGGCTCGTGTCTTGTTAGCTTCTGTGGAAGAAGCCACTTGGAATCTGTTGGACAAAGGGGAAAAAATTGCCAAGGAAGCAATCGTCTTTAAAGAGGAACTTCATGCAGCACTGGCTGATGTCCAAAAAGAGAGTAAGTGTTATGATAAATAACTTTGGCACCGTAAGGAATCAGTTTACCGAAGCAAATTTGGTATCAAAATGAAGCTGGGGTATCTGTGAGGAATGTCTTTGTGTGCAGTGTCTCAACTGTAAATAGTCTGATTGTATGCTCTCATATACCACTGGTCATGAGGTAAAACATACAAATTGAACCTTATCATGAAAAAGCACTGATATCAATGGCAGTATTGCCAGTTTTATTTTTTTTCTAATGAAGACAGGATCCCCCTTGTCAATTTTATTCGCTGTTAAGCACAAGTTTAAGTTGATGCATACTTCCATGCTTTTCTTGAAAAGTATGGTTTTCCTGAGTCAGAGATCATGACCTTTTCAGAAGGAAACTTTTTTTTTTTTAAATAAAGACATTCCCTCTTGTATGCAGTAGTAAGGATTTCATTAAGGAAGATGCAATAGGATTGTTTGGAGTTATATTTTGAGACTTCACTAGGAAGTAGGTGAATGATTAATTCTTCAAGCTACTCTGTTTTATCTCTTTATGATTGCGCGGCTTATCTTTGGCCAGTTCTTGCCATGTTCCATTTCCTGATGAGCTATCTCACTGTTTCCAACCAGGCTCCCACATCATTAGTCACATTCTTTCAGGCTCTGTGTTTCTTTGTTGATTTTTGCTTTCCTCATGGATAATCGGACCTAGTTAAGTGAGTAATAAACTCAGGTTTGAATAGTTGTGAGTTTGATGACAGACATTTAAAACAGCGTCCTTCGGAAATTGTCCTTGAAAATTGATTCAGGCGGAGGTTTTGAAGGAAAACGGGGACATAAAAGTAATGCTTTTAGTGTCTGGTCATTTGGCAATGATGTCCTTTAACCAGCACTCAGTTTTAGAAGTAAGTGGTGTCCAAGTGTTGCCTGGGATCAAATTAAGAGTGGCTGATGAGTCTTCTCTAATAAGCAGCAATGAACAAGCAATGAATTATGGTCTGCACCAGAAAATTGTCAGGCTATGGTACTGAGTGTGCTAGTAATCAGGATTGGTTTTGTCACCCAATAAAGTGGACTTGAGTCACCTTTTCACTAAGCAGTGTATCATGTATTCTTATGTTATGTGGCAAGTTGTGACTGAAGAACTGTGTTGGCCATTTAAATCAGGTCTCTGTATCACCCTGCCCTTACTAAAGCTGCAACTTCAGGACTTTTTTGGTGATGGTGGTTTTCTTTGTGGTTTGTCTTCCTCCTCCATGTGGAGTTGAAAAAATTTCTAAGTCTCTGCTGTCGTTCGGGCTGGTCACTGCTAGCTATTGGCTTCTTCTGAATTCAGAGATGGTTGCATTTCAGTCTGATATATATATGTATAGTGTCTGAGATACCCTAAGGTAAGATACTTTGAGATTAAAAGCATTATAACCACCTGTTATTGTTGTTATCTGTCACACTGATCAGCTGAGCTTTTTGAAAAATCATTTATTTTGGAATAGTCTTAAAATGTTAGCCCTTCGATTCCAGGTCGATAACGCAAGACAAGAATAAAATATATAGTTTCATATTGATTTTTATACATAGATAATGTAAAAATATTTCACATTTTCAATTTATTTATTGATTCTCAGCCAAGACCAGAGATGACTACAAAAATAAATAATACATAAAGTAGATTATATACACCTCATACATTTTAAAAGAAAGTTAAATCAATGTTATTACCTATCATTATGCAATGACAAATTGCATTGCTTGCAGCCCCATCCTCCTCCAAAGATTTGCTGAACTGTTTAAGTTAATTTTAAGATGGTGAACAATCATACAATAAATAGCAGTTTGTTGATTTTTGCAGGTATTTTTAGTGCTTTGTAGCTGCGTCTTATTTTAAATTTGCGGTATGTAACATCACGTGTAATTTTGCTTGTTGCTGAAGTAGCATTCTGCTGCTGTTAAATGTCTCCTGTTACTTCAAGTTCTTTGAAAGTGTCTGGGTCACAAATTCTGATAAACTGTGCATGCAGTCACCTGCCATTCATGCCATTATTTTTCTCTGGGTATATTTTTCCGTGATGACAGGCAGATACTCATATGCTTTAAAATCAGTTACGATTTTTTGCATGTTGGCTGCAGCTTATTTTTACTACATACTGTAATTTTGAAACAATCTATGTAATTTCACTCAGATATGAACCAAGCTATCAGACCTAGAGTTGTGTAGACAAACAACTGGAAAGAATAATAAAATCTTTCCTCTTCTGACATTTTTATGTTATTCACTGAGCTTGTTAAATGGGACATTAGAATTACACCTTTACTATTTTGTAACATCTATGGCCAGTGCAAAAATGCTGCTTTACTACTTTTGGAGCTCCTTAATAGAGTTCCTTTTAGAGGAGTGATAAACTTTTTTCAAGCTGCTGATAAAAATCCTGTTCGTAATAATATTTTGGGGAGTAAAGGGGCAAATTAACAGGATGAAACTGAAGAGCAGAGAAAAGAAATGGAAGATGTATTTAATACATTTGATGTACTAGTGGCTCATCTAATGTCTTTAGAAACAGGGGTGTGGTTATGGCTTCACTGACTATAGTCTTGACTAACAGTGTCAGTATATGAGATTTTGGTCTCAAATTCAGTTGACTTCTGTTAGTGACATCTGAAAGCAAGTTTTGCTATGATGGATGGCAGGTATGTTCCCTGGATAAGTCTAGTTTGTTTCTGTTAACCTCTGGAAAGTTTTACAGAGGAGTGATAGTCTTGAAGGTGATCGCCTTAATGCAGAGATCTGCTGCATTTTTCTTTGAGGTTCAGTTCAATAATGTACTTTTCAAGGCCTGCTTCCATACACATCTTGAGTGACCTTCTAGAACTCTACTAAACTCTTTGTCTCTTCTGGTCAGGCCCCAAGTTAAGGTTCTCCATTCTGGTGATGTGAATCAGGACTTCCTGCAGTGACTTGGCTTGCATCTCCTTATAATAGCACCTGCAGTTGTGTTGCTTTTTGCTTCTTTGTTCAACCAAACACTGTAAAGTAGCCTTCTGTTTTTTTTTAAAGAGATACAAAAAATGTATCTCAGGCTTTGCTCTTGGGTATTTAACAATGTTTTTTGACATGCCTTTGAAATTTTGTTATATAAGCTGGCCAGAACTCTGGAGAAAATAAACGTTTCAAAGCTTCTGTCGTGGTTCTTACTACTAAACTGTGAAGGGGGAGATCTCGAGAGTAAAAGTGATAGCAATATGTTATTTTACCTACAGTGGGTTTTTTTGAGCTACAAATATTATCTTCTGAATCTATGATAGTTATGGAATACAATTGGTCCTCTCTAGTGTTGCTTTGATTTTCCATGATAGAATCATAGAATCATTAAGGTTGTAAAAGACCTTTATATGCTGAACTACGTTTTGTTTTTTATAGCAATTAGGTTTTATTAAATACATTCCTTTGGAGATGGCTGACTTGCCTGGAACTATCCCTAGGCATGCATTTACTGTTGAACACAGTAGTGTTGATATGTTTTTGTTTCTTGTTTGTTTGCCTGAGCGCACACGGGCTATTTTCTCAACTTCAGGAGGTTTGGAAAAGTTTCCTTGTGTTTAGCTGTTTCAGTACTTCACACTAATCTCATACAAGCCCTCACTAGAGAAGGAAATTTGTACCAAATATTTAGCATGCAAAATAGTTGCAAAAAGTAACTGATGAACAAAAAAGCAAATGCTATTCTTTTTTTTTTTTTTTTTATATATATTCCTTTACTATTTTCTAATTGTATGAAGATTGGGATCAGTATTTCCTATTGATAGTGGGAATTGGGTTAAAGCTTTCTGTGTCTGGTTAAGTGATGGCAGGCTTTATTTGGAAACAGTCAAGCTAACGCAGGCCTCTGCAAAGAGTTTAAAAGTTCTGACTGGTGTATTCCACATAACTGATTGTACGTCATGTGGAATATGTGGAACAAGGTAGATAAGGCTGCAATTTGCTATGTCCTGCTTTTTTGCCATCTAACCTTACCCAAAAAAGTGGCCTAGAAGAAAGCTGGAGAGGCATGGAACCAGGAATAATGGCTTTGAACAAATGGAGGGGAGATTTAGATGAGATGTGAAATTACAAAGGAATTCTTCACTCAGAGCAAAAAGCACACATGGGAATTAGGGCTGAAGATGCACCTTGCTTCTGTTCTTTTCTGTAAAGAATAGAATGAAATTGCCTAAAAAAGAGTGTCAAAAATAAACACAGGGCACAGGATGGGAGGTGCAGGGCAGTCCCTGTGGCACCAAGAAGGAATGCACCTGAGCAGAAAGAGATATGTTGTGGGCGGAGGGATAGCACCAGCGGCACAAGAGACACCAGTGCCCAAGGGACCTCTGGCACCAGCCCACAGACACATGCAGGTGGAGCCATTGGCACTGCAATGATGCGGGGAACAGGCTGGCCCCTCACACAGCCAGTGACAGGGGGCCTGGGCCTTACCATCGGAGCAACGGTGATGTGGGGCGAAGGTGGGAGCATCAGGCAGACAGCCGCAGGGAGCAGAGGTGTGCCCGTAGCCCGGAGCACAGTGTGGGACCCAGGAATGGCCATAAACCAGATGGCAGTGTTGGACCCGTGCATGAAAGTGAAGCCGACAGTGGCATGGGACCAAGGCGTGGGACTGGACAACCCCCAGGTTCAGCACCCTGGCCAAAAAACATCCCAGATGGAAGGCATCCTGTTTGGGCAGTCCCGGGCAAGGACTGGCTTAGCCTTCTGCCCAACACCGTGGAGCCCATGGAGCTGGATCCACCAGATGTGGAGGAACGGATGGAGGTGGATCCACCTCTGCCACAACAGGCCTGGGACTACTGCGGCACATCTTTGTGCTCTGCCATCCGAGAGCACCAACAGCAGCGCAGGAGTGCCTGGCAAGCCCCCTACTCGTTGCTCAGGCTCCATTGCAAGCATTAGCTTGGAGCCACCAAACACCACGGGCATCCCGCAGGCTTGCCTGCAAGATGCCCCGGCAATAAACAGCTCTTGCCAATTCTCAGGGGTTGTGTGAGTGCTTCTTTTGGGAGGGAATTGGCTAAAGTTGTCCCAGGGGAGGTGTAGGTTGGATCTTAGGAAGAACTTCTTTACCGAAAGGGTTGTGAGGCATTGGAATGGGCTGCCCAGGGAAGTGGTGGAGTCACCATCCCTGGAGGTCTTGAAAAGACGTTTAGATGTAGAGCTCAGTAATATGGTTTAGTGGGGGACTGGTTAGTGTTAGGTGAGAGGTTGGACCCACTCTTCCAACCTAGGTGATTTTGTGATTCATTAAACAAGTCACCAGGCAGGCCTGTGTAGGCTGTTGATAGTCTGTGTCATACAGGAATCCAGTAGTCTGGTAACTGCCAGGATTTCCTGGTGATCTGGTTTGGTGCAGCTTTTTTACAGAGCACTCATGTCCATATTTTCATTCTAAAATAATGTATTAATACCAACTCTAAGTATTCAGAAAAAAAATTTGCCGTTGGATTTCATGTATACAGTGTTTCAAGAAATTGCCTTCTGACTCGTACTATGTTGTAAATTAATTGTAAAATAATTGACACCTGTGAGTTCAGACGTGAACACTTCTGACACGAAACTTTAATCAGTGTCCCAATTCTGATGCTTCATCCATTTTAAGACAAAACAATGATGCAATTTATATGGAGAAACACTATCTTAGGAATTTATGTTGAAGTCCAGTGTCATACTTGCATTTACGTTAAGGTGCAATTCTGTTATAGTTTTCAAGCAGTTGTACAGGCGCAACTGAAATGTTTGGTATTTATTGCCATTGCTTACTGACTATATATGGTCAGAGACACAACAGTTGTTGCCTCTGTTGTTTCCATCTATTGCAGTGTCAGTGTTACATGGATTTAGCTGTTATCGTGTCTCAAGTGTGTTCCTAGATAAGCCTTACATCACACATAGTGAATTGAAAGCATGTTACTTGTTAGAGTTGTATTTTGAGCTTTCAGTTACCTTCCAAGAGGAAATGGTGTGAAGTGGGGATGGTACACACCTTTCAAATGTCCATATTTAGTTTATTTTGATAGCAAAAAGGGAAGTACCACATTGGTGGAGAATAAACTACAATTCACGGATTTAGGAAAAAAAAAAAGGAAATTAAAAATGGGGAGGGCACTGTAAGGGTATTTACTAAAGAAAGGGGATAGTGCTGACTTCTATTGTACTGTATTCTTACCACCCCCCCCCCAAAAAAAAAAAAAAAAAAGGTTAATGGGTTTTGCTTTTTCATCCTACATTAAGAGGTACATGTATGCCTTGCATCTTGGGGACTTTGATTCTTGGAGGCAGAATTTAGAAAAGTGGCTTCAAAATCATCTGTGGTGTACACTTTTTCAGTGTACCCTAGCAGAAAAGCTTCTGACAGCTCCATCACTGGGCTCGGATGTCCCTGTGTATGAAAAGGGAAATGAAGAGGTTGGTGTAAGGCATGTGGGGGGTGTATGTGGTAGCTTTGATTACACATTAGGAAGAGCAGTATGAAATGTGGAAGTAGAACTTCCTAATATACAGCAGTAAAACAGTTGCAGTACAACAGAACACAGGGGTAAGAGCCTCTGGCAGGAGAAAAATGTCCTGTAATGGCTACTGTAAGACATTGCGACAAGGTGATTTATCATGGTATAGAATATTTAGAATATGCAGGAGGTATCCATCTGCTTGGCGTTGACACTGTTGGTGCTAGTTTCAGCTGCCTGACTGTAGCAGATAAAGATGATATCTGGGGGAGCAGAACAGGTGATCATATGGCCCAGCAGTATTTTTTCATCTTTTCTTTTTAGCAGGTGTGAGTTTCATGTTCTGATGTGATACTGATTCCTAGCCTTCTCTGGTTTCTGCAGGCATAAGCAGAATGCTAGTGTAAATCAAGGTTTGTAAGTTTTCAGTTGTTTTCAGCAATACCTCCTTGTGGGAGAACACAAGAATGATGTCAGATTCACTGCATTCCATGTGGATTTCACAGTGCTGCAAACCAAAGGAGAAAGCTAGATGTAAAAACAGAAGGATGTGATGTTTAGGGTTAAATAGAAGAAAGAAAATAAATTCAAAGAAGTAAAACAAGAAAGCATTATTTAAATGGTTTTGTCTAAAACAAGGAAGGGCATTTAGCTGTTGCCTGAGCATCATCTGGAGCACTATCTCCGAGGGGTGCTCACCAATTACAGGAAGTGGAGTTACTGCAAGTCTCTGTACAGACAGCCTGCCCTTGACTAGCAGCCCCGCAGATGTGTGTACCTTAGTCAGCAGTTTGCAGGCAGGCTCACTTATTTGTAAAGGTATTTTCAAGTAATTTTTTTTGTTTTGTTTTGTTTTGTTTTTTTGGTGCTAGAGAAAGTGCATGGATGTACTTAAAAAACAAACAAACAAACAAACTTGTGGCTGAGCAGTATTTTCACCTTTCCCTGTGCCTGAGCGTTGACTTATTCTTTTCATTTTTGGTATGCACATACACAAATAACATTTGACAGCAGCAGTCAGTAGTTGATCAGCTTATGGTAGTAACACTGTTTACTTTAGGAATCATCTGTCTGTGTGTGCTACGCTGTGCCTTGGAGGTATCTGATTTCCATTAAATACGTAGTTAAGATGTATCCTGACTTCAGTCTTCTCAATTTCTTTTCCCTTGAATGTCTGAAATAGCTGAAATCCTATGAATACTTCATCTTTTTGCTTCCCTATTTATGCTACTAAATTAGCACTCTGTCACTTGTGTTTCATTGTTTGTGACAAATATAATTAGGGAAGAAATCTGCTTGATGGGATTTACAATAAAATGGATTAAATTGCATCGAACTGTCATGCTGTCTACAGCATTTTAAGAAATTTCTAACGTCTTGTTGTTGGAGCTGTCATTTCCTGCTGCTTGTATATTCATAGTTCCTCTCTTCATAGACTGCATCGGAACTGTATTTTGGGATCGTGGTCCCTTCAGCATCTTATACTTGTTCATCTGGTTGTCCCAGCTTATGTCCAGCTCGTTCTAGGGGTTTGTGTTTTAGATCCTTCTGATTTTGCTCACTCATTTGTCAATGGTGAATTAGATCCAACTTGAATAAAAAATAAAGTTCCATGTGATTGACACCGCTCAATTTCAACCTTGGCTGGAGTAATTCTGTATTGCAAGTGTACATGTAGTCTGACTCTTGACTCATGCCTGTGTAGTGCAAAAAGAAGGAAATAGTTGAAATGGATGTGAAATAAGTTGGAAGCATGGCCTGAAGCCATGTGCTTTAGAAGTCCTGTGGGGCTAAAATGTTGTGTGGTAGTGCTCTCTAGGATACCTTTTCTTACAAATTAATAGTAAAAAAAAGCAGGTAAATTTGCATGTCTTGCAAACAGAACTACTATTTTAAACATAAGGGATGTTTTAGATGTTTCAGTTCCAACTCTTACCCTTTTCTTCCTGAAACAAAGTAGTAGCTTAGGGATTTCTTCAGCACACAAAGAACATTGAGATGCTTACAAACGGGGGAGAAAAAAGAGAAGCAGGAAAACAAATAAACCTGTTGCAGTGCTGAGAACCGCATTTCCCAAATTTGAGACCATTGGCACACTCATGACAACAACACCCAAGATGTGTTTGGGTTTTCTTCTCAATGCATTTGAAGTGTTGTGGCTAGGAGCTGAATCCATAGAAACAAACCAACTAAGTTGGGAGCTGCCTAAGGCAGTTGACACAAATATGTCTGAGTAGGAGGGTATGTATTAAATATTCACCTGTTTGTGCTGCGTTGTGGCTTCTCGCTTCATTTGGCATGCTGTGCAATCACTGGAATATTCAGTAAGAGCTGGATGTCAATGATGAGAAGGTGGTCTGGTCTGGGTTTTTCAAAGCTTAATGAAAGGCGTGGGTATTGGGACAACAGAAGATAGGATTTGTGATGTGCACAGAGTTAATTATGATCAATATTTTTCTTGCTACTTACTAGCAATTATTTAACTTTGGGCATACATGGAATTGAATTAAATGATTGGTTTAATGAAGAAGACAGGAGGGGGAGAATTTGGATGTTTATGTGCTATCCCAAGACCTTTGAATGGTTTGTGTGGGGTTTTATTTTCTTCAAAGACTGAATGCTGACAGGAACATGATGTGCATTTACATCTGGTTTGGGAAACTTCATGTTGTAGAGCTGTATGTTATTACCTACTTGGCATAGTTGCTAGCTTCATTGCTTAGATTTAATATATTTTATGTTGGTGTCAGATGTTTGGGTATATAAGATTTTCATTCTGTTAACTTTTATTTATAATGAGAAAGGCAGTATTTGACTCTTCTGTGACCCAGAGTTATCTAACAGTAAGGAGAGCAAAGTATGTAATGATATAAAAAGCAGGGACTAGAGCAGTTTAACACAGAGCCCCTGGCCTTGTTGTGTACAGTTAAGATTCATGGTGATTTCCAAAGGAGTTATTTCAGAATTAAATGATTCAGAAGAACAGAAAGGGAACATCATTCAGAATAAAGCATATTCTGTGTGATCTACAGTAATTGACCTTCACTCCAAGGCATGAGGGCAAGAAAAATATACCAGAGTTTTTGGTAATAGTAGTGAGTTGCCAGATAACTTACTGAGTTTTAACTATTTTTTCCAGAGTTTTTCAATACAGTCTAAGTGAATTTGTCTTCATTTTGCAGGTCAAGCCTTGAAGGTATCAGCAGAGGCATTTACCAGTGATCCCTGCTATCTTCCTAAGAGGCAGGCTGTTGTCCAGGCAGCACGATCTCTTCTTACAGCTGTCACACGGCTTCTTATTCTGGCAGATATGGTTGATGTGGCATACTTACTGGAACATCTGACTGTGGTGAGTAGAAGTTGACTTAACTAACTGGGTCATCTTTTATTTTCCTGGCTCTCTGTACACAAGTGTTAGTCCCATTCTTCTTTTCCCTTATAAAACTAACCCATGTTTGTTTACGTTACTTAATTAGGCAAAATAACCACAACTTTGTTCACAATTCAACATCAGAATACTTTCCCATCTACTTAAATGTGAGTTCCTTTAATGTCAACCATAGTGTTTTGTGTGACTTCAACATTACCAGATCGTGCCTCTGACTTCCAAAATGCTATTCAGTTTCTTCTCTGGCTGCTTACTTCACTCTGTCAGGTGTATGTATTGTCTGGGAAGAGCAAGTAAATATTCTACTCCTGCTCCTTTTTTTTTTTCTAGCATCTTCAGTAATGAGTGATGGACTGCTTAAAAAATCAAAGTTCTATTGTTTTCATAATGCTTCAAAATGGAGGCTGTTAGTCAGTACCACCGCTTTGAACAGTACCTCATTGCCACAAGAGGATGCAGTGACTTAATTGTAGTTATTTGAGGATGGGGGATCAAAATTTATCTCCCAATCAGGGTAGGAAGAAGTGTTGCTTTATCCTACAGTATTTCATAATAAAGCAACGTTTTGTGGGTTTCAATGCTTCATTTGAAACATCCAGCTTGGACAATTGCTAGAGGTGCAGCACAGTACTGTCTTGCAGAAAAGTTTATATTGTTATATACATGTGAAATTCTCCAGCTATAAGACAGTGCCGTGTCTTTGGTGCTGCTTGTGGAAAAAAAAAAATTAAATGATAGTTTTCATTGGTTGCCATTCCATTTTTATGTATGTGTTTTCATAATGCTAGATGCACCCTTCTAAAATGCTTTGAGTATGTTTTATATAAGAGAACTAAAATTGAGTTGTCTTCTTTCCTGGAGTTTCAGTATTTCTAAACAACCCTATAATTCACTTCTTGATTTTCATTTGAAAATGAAAGCCAACTATAACTCAAAATCAAAAGAACACAAAGAATCATTCAGAGAAACTCCAACACTGTAAGGATTACAATTAAGTTATCTTTTTCTTCTATACTTTAATTTAGTTCTTTTAATAGGAGTAAGAACTAAATTCCTCACCTGATTCTTAGAATAAATTAGTGTGGCATAACACTCCAAAATGCCTGTGTAAAAAGGACTCACCCTAGTCCTGGAAAGATGGTACATTTCCATGCTTATTTGGTCTCTGCTCTGGCTGTTGAACATACCAACAGTGGTATTAGTTGTAATCGTTTCTTTTTATGTTGACATCTAATTAGGAAATGGACTTAGAAGATTTACAAGTAGGTTTAGATTAGATTTAGAAGATTTAGAAGACTTAGAGGTAACTTCAATGTATGCTACTGAGCCACCTTCAAATGGTAAGAGCTTTTAAGTGCCAACCAACTGAGACAGATTTAAATAAAACTGAAGTACTTAATGATTCTTAATTTTGCTCTTTTCAGAGTTCTTAACTTCAATAATTGTCAGTCAGAACTCCCTTAGGAATTCCTTTTTTTCTTCAGTGTAGGCTTGCTCCAGTAAAAAGGCATTATATTCAGTGGCTGTAGCATAGAAAATACTTTGTATTTGCTGTATCAAGTCTGATGTTCTCAGAGTCTACAGGTTCATATGACTTGAATATCAGCTTTCTTTAAAAAAAAAAAAGTTATTAGCAGTTTCCCTTTGAATTTCTTATAAGGTTTTGATGCTTAATGCTCAGACCATTTTATCCTTCTCTTCACAAAGACAAGAATGTTACAGCTGTTATTAATCCTTTGAGAAGAGATGAGAATTTTAATTGCTTTTTTATTTCCATGTCTCTGAGCTCTGTAATTGTCATAAAATCAAGATGTTTAAAGGACTGAGCCAAAATTAACTTAAAAAATGGGGAAAATAAAAAATAATTGAATTATAATAATGCAATGAAAACTCTAACCAGGGATTTTTTTTGTTTGTATATATAAAATGAAAGAAGGTAATCCAGCACTATGAAAGATCTCTGTAGAATATTAATTAAATCTCATTCAATGTGAAATATTTAATAGGGCATTATTTATGTATGTTATTTTTTAAACTCATTTATCAAAGTACTGAAAGTTTTTTGTCTTGCTCATTCAGTAAATCTGGTTAATTGCAGCACTGTCATTCAAAACATTTAAAAACTTGCTTACTTTTACTGACAAAGTACAGTCTGGGTTTTCAAACTTTAATTTCCTCTGTAATCTTAGAACAAGAATAGCAAGGAAACAATGACAAGCAGTGACTAGCTGTTATATAAAGGCTCTTCTAGTGTTACCTGTCACATCTGCCATTCTAAGCATGCCTAAGAGCAAAGATGAACCTCAGCTACTTCCAGTTGGTAGCCTCTAAAACCATTGTGCTATCTGTGCAGACTCACAGAATGGTTGGGGCTGGCAGGGATCTCTGGGTCCGTCTGGGCCAACCCGTACTCCAGCAGGGCCACCCACAGCAGGTTGATCAGGGCCATGTCGAGGTGGCTTTTGACTATCTCCAATGAGGGAACCTCCACAACCACTCTGGGCAGCCTGTGCCAGTGCTCAGTCACCTCCCTAGCACAGAAGTGCTTCTCGTGTTCAGAAGGAACCTCTTGTGTGCCCATTGCCTCTTGTCCTGGCACTGGGCACCACTGAAATGAACCTGACTGTCCTTGTTGCACCCTTCCTTCAGGTATTACAAACATTGAAGAGATCCCCCCGGAGCCTTTTCATTTCTTGGCTGAAGTCTTATCTCTCACAGCCTTTCCTTGTAGGAGAGGTGCTCCAGTCCCGTAGTCATCTTTGTGGCCCTATGTTGGACTCTTTCCAGTGTGTCCATGTCTCTCAAACACATTGCTCAGACTTGGGACCATTTTTTAATTTTATGTAATAAAATCTTACTGTTATGCAGAATGTAATGATGAAAAACCTAATTTTAGTCACAAAAATATTGAAATGCTGCCTTTAAAGTAGAAACTTAGTTTAGTTGGAAGAATTTGATAAACCTGTCAAGAATTTCACTCCAAGTAAAAAAATGTCCCAAACCATACCATTGTGTACATGAGAATCTTTTATGAAATTTCACTAATAAAGTAGAAATAATTTTGGTTCTTTATTTAATTCTCTGAAGTCTCCACCCAGCAAAGAGGATATAAAATAAAGCATGTCAGAGCCAGCATAAAGCTTCAGTGAATGATTGTATTTGAGCATAGCACGTTTATAGCCATTTGTGGAATTTGCAGCCTAGTAAGAGTATGATGGTGCAGTACAAATGCTCATTTTAATTAAAGTGGACTGAGAAAATGAAGTGCATTGCAGTGATGAGAATAGTCAGTTTCTTTAAACAAGTTTTGCCTGTTTAAATAGTGGTCCACATGGGATTTCCCTTCCTTAGGTTGGAGTTGGAAGTCTAATCAAAACTGAGTTGTGAAAAGTGTAGTCAGACAAAGGGCAATTTCACAGATCTCACTCTTGAATTCAGAGCTGCATTAGCAGCCCCATTCGTTATGGTTAGTGATTCTCAATATCTAATTAAGTGAATTAACAGACTAATGGAACTGCTTGAATTTATTGATCAAGGGAGAACAGCAAGACAGTAACAAGTTCTGAGTGTTTCATTCAAAGTGCATTGGCGGTCTGTCTTTCCCTTATCTATTTCACTTCAGGCTGAGCCAGCATGTTTTGTTTACCTCTTTCCTCATCTTGTCATGTTTGTAGATGAAGTGTTTAAGTCTTCATACTTCTCACAAACACCTCAGACAGTGCTTGCATAAGCTTTATACAGACTGTTGGTGCAACCCAGGTATAAGGGGAGGGGAAATGAAAGAAACAGGGCTTACTTTGAATGGATAGGGCTTGCTTTAAGTAAGGTAGAACTTTTCTGGATCGGTTTAACATAAATGTTATGGAAGATGCTATTTATTGTTTTTTCATCAAAATCATTGTAAAACTGTGCGATTATTTCCCAATGAAGAAAGCTTAAGAATAGAGCTTAGGGATAACTATGATGCAAACATTTTTTATACAACAGATCAAAGTGGAATGCATGCAGTTTCCACAGGTACAACCAAGTGTGAGAAATCAGTGTAATGTCTGGTGGTGACGAGGTTTGAAAAGTACTTTGAGAAGTTGCAAGATGGGATATTAGTAGCTGGCTGGCTGCTTTTACTTATTTATTTGGACTACGTAACCGTCTGCATGCTCTAGTCAGGGACCTAGGACTCCATTGTGGTAGCCTGTCTTTGAGCTGATCATGAAAAAAGAGCATTTCTGAATTTTCTTCTGAGTAGTTATAATTGTTCTGCTGCTACGGCAACACTTACATTGAAGTGCAGTGCTTTATAAGAGAGTAATACAGGCATGACACTGTGAAATTCCCTTCTGTGAGTGTTAATCTTGGAGGGCAAATTCCGGATTAGTGAAAAAGAACTTGGAAGTTCAGTTTCTCTTGGCAAATTATTTATTGGTAGTATAGTAATGAAGTCAATATAATGCAGAATAGCTTGTCTGATCAACAATTATTTGTATCTCAAGCATGCACAGATCATTCTGATCCAGAGAATTTTATTTTATAACTTCCCTGGAGGCAGATAAAGGGAAACGCATGCAAAACAAACAGTATCTGCTTTATCATCAAAATGCATGTCTTCAGACCATCCTAAAATGAGAGCAAAATCATGACATTTCCTGAATGAAGGAGGCGGTGTGACACTCTCCATAAACATCTACAAATGGGCACCTTGCCCATACCATTACAGCAAAATACTGAGAACTATCTTTCATAAATGTCTGCATTTAGTAATTGGAATTTTAGAGAGGTTTTTGACTATTTTTCCAGCCATATCTCCTGGTGATATAAAATAGTCTATTTAGTGTTATTTAGTCTTCTAAAGTAGCAGTATATATCGAAACAGGAAGGCTTTTTTAATGAACTGCTTCCTTGTGTCAGAATGGAAAATAAATTTGCTTTTCTTCCTCAATTCATCAATATTGAAAGACATTTTA